AGTGGGGACCCGTTAGCCTAGATGTTGTGTAATAAAACAAGAAAACAAAACAAAAATCAATATCTGACGCACAAACTATTGTAATATTACCAGCATTGGGGCTGTTTTTCGTTGTATGTATTCCGTAAGATTCGTTTCTAGTAATGGATCGTATGAATTCCGTAAAATTCGTATCTTTCTAGTAATGGATCGTATGCATTCCGTAAGATTCGTATTTTCTAGTAATGGATCGTATGCATTCCGTAAGATTCGATTGTTTCTAGTAATGGATCGTATGCATTACGTAAGATTCGTATGTTTCTAGTAATGGATCGTATGCATTCCGTAAAATTCGTGTGAATTCGTTAGCACAATTCCTGGTACTTAGACCAAAATATAAATGTGGTGCCTTACAAAAGAGAGAAAGTCCTGTAATAAACGTAACGTACATCATGTCAATACGTTAATATTTTTTGAAGTAGTGTCTTAGAATAGACCTATCGTATTGCTCACATTGAACTTGTTGTCAACATTTTACAATGTACAACTGTTTGACAATAAAGTTCATTTATTGACTCTAACAATAGTGTTCAGTCTGTACTTAGGTCGGTTTCCTTCCATCGCAACTCATACTTTAACAAACCTCAACAAACGTCTGTTTGTATAGAATCTAATTCGTGTTGGTTTTATTTTCATATGTATTTATGTTTTGTTTCTGTGCTGTCTAACTATGGGCCAGTGAGTGTCTGAAATAAATAAATGATAATAATTACTTTTCTATCTCTGTAGCATTCTCATTGGCTCCATCGTAGATGGTCAGAAAGTCCCTACGTAACTCAGTGTTGAAGCTGTCAAACGTGAGGATAATGATGCTTCCTTCTGGTACAGTGATCGACCACTCACAGTTCTCATTGTTGCCATAGTTAGCGGGATAGTTAGGTGACGTCACAGGGCCTCCAGAAGGAGCCGTCAGGTTCCCTCCACATCCGGTGGCGCTGGTTACTGTGGAATGAGAAGTGCTCTTATATATATATGGCGTCCTTAATGCCTCTGAAAATTTGATCTTTCTGTAAACTGTGTGTTGGAATAAATTTTAATGTTTTACTATGATTACTACCAACGCAAAAGGACCTTCATGATAAACAGTCTATGTTTCAGTTCCCGTTCATCGTCTGTTCTTTATTAGTCAGAAATAGTGGGTGGGCACAAAAGTAACGGCACACAACAATGTCGTTTCTGAGAGTTTCGTGCGCTTTTTCTGAACAACGTTTTAATAGCTTTTATTGCATTGTCATTGTTGTCATCTCTGGCCAATTTCTGCCTTATTTGAATTCCCTTACACAGCAATTCACCAGGGTGGGGGTTATCAATGACAATAAACTTTGTTGCACAACAATTGTACAGGATTGCTGTATAAACATATTATGGGATCCATCTACGTTTATAAGTTACAAGTTTACAAGTTTATTAAAAGTCCAGAGGAGCTCGCGGGCAAAAATTGCCCGAATTACGTCCTGGTTACATAATTCATGAGTCAATGTACACATTACAAAGTTTAACATTACAAGTAACGTAACAAGCAGAATATCTTAAAAAAAACAGCATCTCAATTACAACCAATTCTATCCATAAAAGCAAAGCGAACACACTTAGCATTACATATATACAAAGTGATTACTGTGTATCAAGTGTTGGTCTGTTATTATACAACCGGATAGCACAGTGTAAGAAGGAATTGCGCAGTCTCTTTGTACGAGCTGGAGGCAGACTGATCCTCTCAGCGTTTCTCTGGGACAGTCCAGTTGCTGCAGACCTAGTCGGCGGAACCAAGTCGTTTAGGGGGTGGTCATCTCGCAGCATTCGCTCAAACAGGTGCACGGCTGCCTCCTCCCTCCTCGTCTTCAGTGTGGGCAGATCGGGTACGCTGCGACGTCCTCCCAGGGAAATGATGCGGAGGGCACGGCGTTGGACCCTCTCAATGGCCATTTCTTGCTCCTTGCCGCACCCTACCAACAGCACATGACAATATTCGAGGACAGGTCTTACTAGTGCCATGTAGATTTGCACTATAGATCCGTGACACTAGTGCCTTGCTTTGTGAGCAGACGCAGGTAGTGCAGTCTCCGCGATGCCTTGCTTGTCATGGCGGTGACTTGCTCGTTGAAAGAAAGGTTTCTATCCAGGATAAAACCAAGTCCCTTCGCCGATCCGACCGATGGCACAGGTTGGCCGCCCAAGGTGATCGATGGAGGAATGGGAACAGATTTACTAAAGCAAATCTGTAGAAGCTGGCTCTTGGAACCATTCAGGATCATCCTGTTTTCCTCCGCCCAGCAGTCAAGGTGAGAAGTCTCCTCCGCCACGGTTGTATCTAGGTCGGCTGTGGGTACAGCAAGAGTTCTTGAGAGACCAACGTCGTCTGCATACCCAACGTTTGTGGTGTCATGATGTACCGTGGTGCGCGAGCTCATAAAGAGTAGAAACCGGTAGACTATGTAGTATAGAACACACGTCCTCGTTCAGCTAGGTTATGTTTTTCGGTCTATCACTATGGTGACGAGAAACAAAAGAGGACACTGGTAGAACTTACTAGTAGATGATGACTATTTAAATATTCATGTCATTGCGTACTGTTGACAATAGGCGGTCTCACGCCGGAATAATAAGAGCGTGTTTTCAGGCGAGTAACACAGGTGTGACGAGAATATCTCGATTATTATTACTGTAATTCCTGATTTTGCCACGGTAAATATGTTCGTCATGTATGTTCGTCACATCTGTACCACAAACTTCACTCATCACCGTTAACAAATATATCTCCGACTTTCTTTTTACGCACCTGAACTGTTATTTCAAAGTTTATTATCTCCAAATTTGAAAATGCCCGTCTTGTTTTGTTCACACTATCGCATTAGATTTGGAGTCACGTTTTGGCGGATACGCCTCCACTTGCATTGGGTACGTACCTCCCTAGTTCCGGTCTTGATGCAAGGTTACAGGCTGATCTAGGGACGTTCAGAGACTGTTTACAGAATTTAGGGTGGACGGATTCAATGGGGCAGAATCTAGGTTTTTGGTTGAGCCCCAAATTTCTGAGCCGTAATTATATAAAGTAAAATAGGTTTTACACAAGCGTCGTAAAGTTTGTTTTTAACTGATAGCGGGGCGTTGGCTTGATCCAGCGACTGTTTATAAAGCCTTCAAACCCTTGCAACTCAAGTACTTATTGTTTGCTTTAAACGTGCCGGCTGAGTTTCCAATAATGCCGAGATAAGAAGATGGCGTTACAATTTCAACTACATGATTGTCGAATAAAAACGAGCAATTTTGGGGTAAACGGCCACCCTTTGAAAATACAATAATTTTAGTTTTTGCTAGATTTACATTTAATTGCCAAAGTGTACGGTAATTTTCCAGATTCTTCAAAGAATATTGTAGCCCCTGTTTGGACTCGGAAAAATTACCAAGTCATCAGCATATAGTAAACAGGGAACCCTTTTGTTGTGCATAACAGAGGGATCGCAATGGGTGTTGTCGAATTGAGGTACAATATCAGTCACAAATAAATTGAATAACGTAGGGCTTGCTTAAATTACACCCTTGCCGTACCCCACAGTTAGTGACAAAGGTTTCAGTCAATCCATTTCTAGATTTGACACAATTTTAGTCTTGGAATACATACCCTCTATAAGTTTTAGAAATCTACCGCCTATACCGAGTTGACTTAGTTTAAGCAAGAGACAATATCGCCGAAT